CCCCCCGGTTAAATTGATGCCCGGTTAGCGAGTGTAGTTTCTCTTCAGATTGAAGTGCATCGCTTCTAATATTTGCCTTTCTTGACGAGTTTCAAATTGCAAACGAGTTTGTGACGGAGCTGTGTAATTTAGGCATCTTGGATGGGGTTTGTTTGGGTCTTTGTCATTTGTTTGGTTGTTTTTGTTTTTTTTTTTTTTTTTTGAAGGATGCTGCATGCAGAACCCTCAGGTCTGCGTCTGGTAGTTTCTTCAGTCGCTTGCCTGTGCCTAAATGTGCTGATGCAGTGCAAGTGAAATGTAATTCATAAGGCGTTTGTTCTCCTTTGTATTGTAGGGCAGAGTAGATAAATGACAAAAACCAGTTTTGTTAATTGCGAAGCTAAAATCCCGTGCTGTGTAGAGTGGCTGGAGGGAAAAAAAAAAAAGCAGAGATCTTTCCCAATTACCCTTTGCTAAGAAATTTCAAGATGCCCAGAGACAGTGTTCTGGAAATGCCTTCCACGTGTATTTAAGAACCTGAAATTGCCTATTCAGCCACAACCTTTACTTTATTAAATCGGTAACATAAGTGAGGGGATTGAATGTTATATGCAAAATTGAGCGAGTGTTACACACGAGCTGATGCTCAATTAGTTTTTATTATTTCGGAAGTATTAGACTTAGTCTTTTATATAGCATCCTGATCAGCAGTGTTGTCCTTGTAAAGCTAGCATGGTGACGCTTCATACAAAGGATCACTACTGCACTTAGAAAGCAAATGTTGAAAGCTCTTACGTGAATGATAGAATTATGTTGAAATTACCACGTTGCTTGTGTTGATAATATGTAGATAACTGAAGTCTTACATGTGAATTTAAAATAATGAGTGTAGATGGTTTTCTGACTCCTCTATTGTCTGTTATCTCTGTGTGTTTTCCAGTAGGTTTATTTAAACAATGTGCCAAAGCAAACACGTGCTTGGAGATATCTGTGGGATTCTGCCCAGAGAATGAATGGATGCTGCAAATCAAATACATTGATTAAATTAACAGTAATGGGGGAAAAATTGTAAAGATGAAATAAATAGGCAAGCTGATAGGTGTCAGGCATGTGCATTTGTTATAATGGATAGCTTTTTAACCCTATGCAGCTCGCTAACTTGCATTAAATAAAAAGATGAGCTCTGGGTAGATGGCTAACTTAAATTGGAATTAATTGGCAGGTGTTCCTGTTTTCAATACAGTGTCCACTCTGCAGAAGTTTTCTGTAGTTTAGGGTTAATTATCTCTCAGTAATGAGAAGACATGAAAGTGCTCAGTGCAGTCTTGACATGAGGTTATATCTCTAATTCTGATCCCCCTCTCCCCTAACTATTATCAATAAGCAGGTTCATAGAAATACTTTACTAGAACTGTTCTAGGTGCTCGTGGTCAAAGCTGTGGTCCTGAAAACCCTCAGTCTCTTATCATCAAGCTCCAAAGATGCCTAAGCACTGTACGCAGTATAGCTAATAGTTTTAAAGATCCTAGGATATCTGGTTGTTTTTTTTTTTTTCCACTTGCATGAGAGGTGATTAGCATGATGCCTGGCTCACGGTTGTCCGCTTTCTGGATGTTGTTATTTTACCACAGTCTCCTGGGGAGTTCAGTCGGGTGAGAATTCTCCGATCACACCCAACGTGTCCTGCAGAGTCAGTCTTCTATAAGTACAGCAACAGCTTCAGAAGACAGTTGGAAGAGGAGGTGCCGCTGCTGCTTTTTAATGACTATTAGCTAAAGCATTTGTTCAGAATGTGGTAGACCCTGCTTCAGATTCCTTTTTTTGCCTGGAGGGATCAACCTACATCTTCCACTTTCCGGGCGAATATCCCAGTCGCTAAGCTGTGTGTTGTCAGTTCTCCTGGCTGAAGCTGTGTTACTATCCAGAAAAAAGAATGCATGATTCACAGAGCCAGAAGGAGGATGTATAAGAAGATGTTGCCCTCCAAGACTGGAGACACGCAGGCTGTGATCCTTGATTTCAGAAGTTACTTGTTTTATCTTAGATGTTCCTTGGAGCAAACACGCACAGCCTAATGTTTCTTGCCCTTTTCTCCCCAAATATATGATCGTGAAACTTTGGAACCATGCTTCATTATGTTTGTGTGTGTGTGGTTTTTTGTTGGTATTTTTTTTAAACTAGATCCTTTTTTTAAACCAGCCTCAAATAGGAGAGATGAACAGATGCTGCCTGGAAGAGAAGACTGACTTGCAGCTTGCATATTCTCCTGGAAGATGGAGATATGGGTACAGATTCCCCCACTAGTGAAGGAACTAAACCGTGGTGTTTTCCCTTCTGAGCTACCATCCTGCCTTATAAAAAGTGCACTGTCAGCAGCTTTATTATTAAACAAACTAACAAACAAAAAGTAGCAGCACTGCTAAGTAAAGATGGTATAGTCTCAGCCACCATGAAGGTTTGTGGGGTGGGAATCCTCAGAAAGAAAAGAGCCTTTTTGTAGCTCTAGGTTGGGCGTTCTGGGATTAGAATTGAGGAGTCCCTCCCCATTGACTCTGCTTGCCTGGTGACTAAATGTTGACAGCTGCACGCTGAATGCGTTGACTTTAGATTACGCCGTGCTTAGCATGCTACCTGTTTACTCGGCCATCTCGTGCTGAAATACGCAGCCTCCTTCTGTACTGTGTAAGGAGCTTAGGCACTTGCGTTAAAATTACAGCTTCCTTGAGAGCTAAGCACATGCAAGCGAGGGAGCTGTTGTGTCCAACATCTGGGTTTCATCTTCAGGATGTGGCCCCAGTGCTTCTGAATGTTGGTTTGTCCTGGTTATTTAGGTAGACTGAGGATTGGAATTGCTAGTGGGGATGTGTTAATGGGATGAGTGTTTACATTGTTGACTTATTAAACAACTTCTAGTATAGTATCTGTATGTTCCAATTGTTAATTTTATGTTTAGTGCCGTTCTTATTCAGGTAACATTGATTTCAGAGATTCTAAATGTGACTTATAGGAGAAGAGACTAGAATAACTTTTTTGCTTATTTTTTATTTGGTAATTTACCATTCAAATGAAAGTGTCAAAGAACTTTGACTCTCCTGGACTTTTAAACTGATAGAAGCAGATTTAAGCACGAGAAAAAACAATTATCTGAAAAGTCTTTATAACCTTCCCCTAAACTTGTATGTTTATGTTAAGCTTCAGCTTAGAGCTGTTTGATATTAGAGATAATATTTGTAGACTGAAACTTCTGTTGGGGAGCAATACGTTTTTGGTTTTTTTTACATGTGTACGTGCCAGTGCATATTTATAATGTAGATGTGTTACACTGATATACAAGAAAACAGTCCAAAGATGTTTTCCTTGATGAAACCAGCATAAGGTTCTGCATGATTGCAGTTGGTCTTGTGCTGATGTAGTTAGGACAGTACCTGAAAGAGGGAACCAGAAGACCATTAAAAGGCGCATTCACTGGTCCTGGTCATGAAAGCCTCTCTGGATTGGTGAGTTTCACAAACTTGCTTGAGACATCCTGTAAGATTCTTCCCAGACAGAATAGCTACAGGATTGGGAACTTAAACTATATGCAGCAACACCTAAATCATTACATTAGCACCTGCTACTGTCTGGAAGGTAGGCCAGCTGTAAACTATTGTTTGATGTATGCATGGGATTTTCTTGGTGGGCAGTGACTGCAGGCAGTGGGCAGAAGAAATCTTACAAACCACTGGGTTTATTTTGGGAGGAAATTTTGAAATTCTCATTCTAAAGAATTTTCGAGTATCATATTGAGTAATCTAAACCTGAAGCGGGAAAATATTAATTAAAAAAAGTCTTTATCAAGAAATGTCGACAGTCTTGCACCTTGAAGCATGCTTAGGTGTTTGTATTTATATTTGTATGCATCTCTGTGTTTGTTTTGGTTCAGTGGTAGGCTAGCACATTGAGCTAAAATGAATAGATTTGAAGAAATGTTTAATGTGTATTTAAAGATTTGTTTTAAAAGTTTAGGCTAGTAGTTAACGTTGGAGGTTTTGTCTCTGTCCCAGCAATATCAAATTGTATTAGTAAAACAGATGTTTAAATGTGGTACTTGGCTTTCTACCGCCACTGTAAACAAAAATGTATCCTGGTTGGGAAGAACTTTTTAAACTGAGATATTGACAGTTTTCTCTTATTTAGGCTAACAGTACTGTCAGCGGTACAACAAATTGTAGACCATGATTGCCATAGCATTTTATTAATATTTGGGGTTTTGTCTTTCAAAGTGTTGTCATGACAGCCTTGGAGGCTGTGAAGTATTGGAGAAAAACAATATTAGTGAGCAGTATCTTAGGAGAAGAAAAAAGCAGATGAAATAATTGACTGTGTTAGCTGGGACTCTGCAAATTGCCTTTGGTTGCTGGCAGCACATCACTTCCTGTGAGTTATTTATTCCTTCAGTCAGTAATTAGAACCGGTTCGTGTTCCCCTGCCGTGGAGGAACAGAGCTGCTGATGATTCTAAGGACTGTGAGAGGACAGAGTTCAAAATCTCTTTAGCATGCCTAAAAAAGTTTGAGCAGAGCTATTTCAGATCGATACAGATGTGGGCTACCATAGCATCGTGTAACAAATTAATAGCACGGTGGGATGACTCGCTCTGTGGACACGGGGTGAGCAGAGGATGTTGTTTACCTGGACTTAAGTAAGGCCGTCAGCATGGTGTCCCATGCTATCCCTGTAGTCCATTTGGTAAAATACAGACTTGGTCAGGTTGTCTGTAGAGTGGTTGGAAAATTAGCAGGACCATTGGCCTCAAAGGGTTGTGATCAGCAATACAAAGTTCCAGTGGCAGCCGATCGCTAAGAGGCTCTCGGGGGTTGATACTGGGGCTAATACTGTTCTGTGTCTTTACTAACAACCTGGGATGAAGGAATGGCATGCATCCTCAACAGGTTCCCATATGATACCAAACCTGGGGAAACATCAGCCCTCTGGTAGGATGAAGGATAGGGCTGCCATTGAGGGATCTCAATGGAACTGGTCTGCCAGGAACCTCGTGAGGTTTGATAAAAGCAAATGCGAAGTCCTTCATCTGGGACAAAACAACCCCACGTACCTGCTGGACAGCAAGTTGAACCTGAGTCAGCAGCATGCCCTGGAGGTAAAGAAGGACAACTGCATACTGGGCGGTATTAGTAAGAATGGGGGAAGGATGTTGAGGGAGGTGGTTTTTCCTCTCCACTTATCACTTCTAGGACCGTGTCTGGAGTGTTCTGTCAAATTTTGGTCTCTCCAGTATAAAAATATGTTGACATATGGGAATGAGTCTAGTTGAGGGCCACCAAAATGATTCGGGGGCCTGAGGCACATGGCTGAGAGAGCTGGATGTGTTCAGCTCAAGAAGAGCAAATACCTAACAAGAGTATAGAGAAGGTGTAGCAAGGCTCTTCTAGGAGGTTTGTAGAAATAGGAAAAGGGACAATGGGACTCAATTCACAAAAATGGAAATTCTGATTTCATATTAGGAAAAATGTTTTAACCGTGAAGATAGCCAGCGTGTTGGAAGAACTGCCCAGAGACGTCTCCATCCCTGGAGGTGCTCAGAACCATCCCTGGAGGTGCTCAAAACCCAGGTTTACACAGCCACGGGTGACCTGCTGTTTTGGGCTCTTTTCTGAGCAGGAGGTTGGAATAAGTGACCTTTGGGGTACCATACAGCCTCTGCGTGTACATGGTTCTGTCAGTGCTGCTGCTGGACCACAGAGCACGCACAGTCATGTGTTTTCAGCGTAAATGTCAATGTTACTCTAGGTTGGTAATGCTTTTCTTGGTCCGTCCTCTAATTCTGTCTTCAGGGCTGTGCTGCTTGTTGAGGGAGGAAATAATGCCTCCATCTCACTGCTGCATTTTATCTAGAGTAAATTGCAAGGCTGCCCTCAAGAAGAGAATAGCTAAGAGGCTTTTTTCTAGGGGTGCTATTTTTCAGACCACTTTTTTTAAAGGTCTTCTGTTTTTTTAATGGTAGGTCATGTGACATGCTTTTCCATTTTTTTTTGTTAAATTGTAAAAACTCTGGGTTTTTTGCTTTTTAATGTTCTGTGTAATCAATCCAGTATATATTGTGTATAGCTATTGTACATCTACAGTATGCTGAATAGCGATATTTATACAGTCATGAGAGAAGGGGGAGGAGATGTTTGCCAGTATACATTTCTTGGTGTGTACTACTAAGACAATATAATAAAAACTCTCCTCTGTGCTTTTTGTAACATACAGTGTAAGTCCTCAATGCTGAAGGATTATTAAGTGCCCACAATTATTTTCTAATAATTTTTCTAATATTTTTCTAGCCATTAGGCAGATTTATTTTTTTTTTATTACTTGTTAGGGTATTAAATTCCTTATCTATGCAGTTTCATGAACAACTACCCTAAACTTGGACATATTTCTTGTTTACCCTTATTTACAGATCTCTTGTGCCAGGTACCTTCCCTTTTTGCCACTACATTCCATATTTTATTTTTATTTTATTTTATTTTTTATTTATAGTGCTGCTTTAAAGTCTTGACTTCCTTTGTCCTTACACCGAAACACTACAGGTATTATCTGCCTGTTACAACTAACTGTACTAAGGTACAGTTTAAATGCACCTTTTAAGCCAAAGAGATGTTAATTTTGCTGACAGTTTAGCCACTAGAAGGTAGTGTTATTTGCAGCTGTTTGTCACCACCTCTGGTGGGAAATTGTTATACCACGACTTTGTTGGTGGAAGGGACAGGGTAAGTAATCTCTAAACGGCTTTAAGCCAAATCAGTTGGACCATCTGAAAATTGAGTGAAGGCAAGTATGAACTAGCTTGTTTGACTTTGCCTGAAGCATAAGGAGTTTTGCAACTTGCTGATACAGTATTTGTCATTGTGGCTACTGTGGATTATTGTACAAAAATACTTATTCATTAAAGGATCTTCTCTTAACTGTGAGATTTGCTTTTCTTTGTTTTTGTTGGAGAGTTCACAAATACATTCCCCTTCTTTTGACAAGAAAAGACTTTAAATGTTTTTCCTCCCCTTTGTCTAGGAAACATGACAGCACTAAAGCTTTTGTATTGGGACAGCAGTACTAATATTTCCGAGGGGGGAGTTTCCTTTGAGTTTCTACAACTCATCTCATAATTGCATGTTGCGTTTAATTACAGCACCTTTGTGTCTGTTTGGCTTGGTTGTGACCACCATGTTTTTTAAAGTAAGCATAAGTTCATCTTTACATTCACCTTTGTGGGGGAAAAAATGTGTATGCCAACACATGGGCACCGATATACACTGAAGTCCTACAGCTACAGTTTTAGCACGCACGCCGGCTTTGCAAATATCTGTGCCAGTAGAAAATTTTCTTTCTCCTTGCTGAGGTTGTTTATTATTGTCTCCATAGCTCTGCTCTTGGAAAGAGTTGTGTGAGTGTGTCCTGGAAAGCTGCCTACCTTTGGTTTTAGTTATGATTGTAGTTTGAATCAAACTCTTTTGAAGCAGGTGAGTCTCACAACTCCTTCCCCTATTTGAGCTCAAGGTCTGGTGGCCTTCAAGGCTAAAGTAAACCAAGCAAAGAGTTAAACTGTTCAGCTGGTGTGTTCTTTGAGACTGGATTACAGGTCTAGTGAGGCACTGAAATATTTACGATAACAAAATATTAAATTGGTGAGAGAAAACTATACCAGTATGCACAAGCCTGTAATACAGGTGCATTTGTAGTTGTAAGTCCTCCTGAGCTAAGCAGATCTAAACAAGGTTTAAACTGCTTTAAATGTAGCTGCATTAGGGAATTAGTGTGGTGCAACTAGATACATGTTAAATTTACCTTTGGTAGTGCATCCCTTCTAATGTCAGCCCTTAGTACTTGTTATTAAACTTACTTTTCAGAGCTGTACAATATATACAGATTTGTAGATGCCATTACCTTCAGTCATTAAAAAAATAATCTCTATGTGTAATGGCAATTTTTCATGTTACTGGTAAGAGAACAGTGTTTGGAGATATTGGTTATATGTTTGGGAGATGCTCTTGGTTCTGTCAGTTGAGCTGTGATGAAAAAATGTGGCCAGAAAGTCACTGTTGCCCCTTATGACTAAAGATTACTACCCTGCAGCAGAGGTGAGCCTACCTTGGATTTAGAGTTCCAGAATATTACCTTCAAATGTCAAAGAGTATAACAATAGTCACTGCTGCTGCAACTAAAGGAGCTGTGCCCGAGAGACAGTGTTTTAGTTTCTCCTAGGCACCAATCCTTACATTTTTAAACCCAGTCAGGAAGTGTATGCAGCAGGGTTAAATGTGTCCTATTTAAAGTAACTGCAGCAGGTTCTGCTGGTTTAGATGAATTGTGAGTTTAACTTTTATATGCTAGACAATGTCTATATGTGATACTTAAAGAGTAGGAAGGCTTTGAGTTTTGCTAAAACATCAAATTATCACAGAGAATAACTAAAGGTGATTCTTTGGTTACTTCATTTTAACTTACATGTTAAAGTTAAACTTACATTTAACTTACATGTTCGAGATTGTGAATAAGATAACACATTGAATGTGCACCAGGATTGACGTATTACGTTTTTCAAAACCACTAGCACGTCACGTTGTCAGCTCAGTTTGTAGATCAGCGTGGATAGAAAAGATACTTCAGAGGGAGCATGAGAGTACTTTGCTACTTTTTGCTAACACCACATTTAATTTAAAAATTTAATTCCAGTCTTCTTATTTGAAGATTGTGATTTACTTGGAGTGCCACTCCAAAGTGGCAGGAATGAAATTTTGTAGCAGTAAGTATTTAATTTTGCGAAATATGCTTGAAGTTATCTATAAAGCCTTGTTTGCACTAGAAGGCGTTGGCCACAGGGATGGACATCAGCAAGCTGTGAGTTGCCCTCGAATGGCACTTAACCACTGCTATGGAGTTGCTGCAGAATTTGGCCTGCCCTTGGTTGTGTTTTGCATACATAACGTGTCCTCACTACTGCGTGCTATAGATTAGCCTGCGTTACGATGTTTGCTGGTGAGTGCTTTTAGGCAAAGCAGCACTGAAAATGTTTAATTCATTGCTAGGCGTCTAGTATATTATAGGAGGTAGCAAATTTGTAGTATGGGGTATGATACCTTGAAAGCCTTTGTATGCATAGAGTTCTTATTTGCCGTAAATGCAAAAAAGAGGAAGAGTTTGCTGTTTCTATTGTCAGTTATGTTTGGTGATGCTGGAATACTGTAACGAATGGGCTCTTACTCTATAGAGAATATCTATAAATAAGATAGCCTCAACTGTGTATTTAAATCCTAAATAAAAAAAAATACGTTATCATACTTTGTTAAATCTGATAACTTGTACTGATGGCCTTGTAAAGATCTGGTGCTACGGGAAATGTATTTCTTGATCATTCTGACTTTGAAAACTTTAAACTTCTTGTCCATTCAGTTATGTCAGTTTGTTATCCTGATGCTGTGTGGTTTTATAGCTATTGTTGCACTTGTTAAGCAAAAATACGCAGTTTAGACTATAGGATTCCCTTATAGGAAAAGAAAAATAGTCTGAGCAGCATTTCAATTAATGTGATTCTACATACTGTCTATGAAACTTAGCTGCAAGGATGCTGCCTAAGTGCGGCAGTCTTTCAATAAAAAAATTTTAACTGTACTTAGAGTCCCTTCTTAGATAAGAAAGAACTTTAAAATTGCTTGCAAAGTTGTAAGGGAAAGTAGTCTCTCCTTAATCTTACTTTTTTGTTTGTTTGTTTTGATGCTGATAGATTTCTGCCTCAAAGTGTAATACTGAACGTGTGCTCAGTAATTTACAGTGCTCATCGCTGATTGCTACTGAGGATTAACTACAGCCTTACTGTAGTGCTTCCTACAAGGAAGGAAGGAAGGTGCCTTGCACTTTGTGCTCTCTTTTTTAATGTTTTCACTGTATCAACTAAAGATGCAGACAAAACTTGAGATAAAATCATTTGTCATCACAAGGATTTAACCTAGTGGGTTAGACACCAATTATCAAAGCATACGCTGGCTTTTTGCTCTCAGATGGAAGTGATAATGATGGGTACAGATCTGCAAGCGGTGCCAGAATGCAAAACAGCACCTGAATTTCCCTGGGATGTTTCTTCTAAAGCTAACTAGTCTA